GGGGGTGTCGCAGGAAAGTGTAAAAAAAGTGTAAGGGCGGGAGGAGGGGGGGCAAAAATTCCCAAACAAAGTGTAAGATTTTATTTGAACAGCCCCAAAACAACGCCGGCCACACCTGCCCAACGTCAGCGAGAGTTAAGGACCTGACGAATGTGTCAGGGGCACAGAATTCTACACTTAGTGTAGAATTCTGTGGTCAGGGGACAAACTTTTTTTGTACTACAAGCAATTTTTTTTGGGGGGGTAGACATTCACATTTAACTTTTGATTTTGATCTAACAAAACTCATATTGGTTACTTTTGATTGCAATGAGCGTAGCAACAATACAATGTATTCCAATAGTTCCGTGGCATTGTTTTAGCTATACGTACGCCTTGCAACTTTTGCTACTTTTTCTTGCAACTTTTGCTATTTTCAAATGCAACTTTCTCTGAGGACAGATTTTTTAGACTTCCGGAGCATAAAAGGTTTTTAAAGGCTTTGGGTGCCTCTTATGTTTATTAATTCACACATGGGTTGGGGATATATAAATAGACTCGCTGTCCCTGGGATCCATGAGCAACATCTTCTTTGGTGCATTTTCTTTTCTCCATCCTTCTTTCTCCTTCCCCTTCTTCTATCATTTCTTCCACCGCTTAGGTCGTCCATCCCACAGAATGGGCGCCTCGTTGACCGTGGGGTGCGACCTGTGGAAACCGGGTAACGACCTGTGGAAACCGGGTAACTGGCAGTTGAAGTGAGATCAGTCTGCGGACTGTCCCTCGCCATCCCCCCACGGGAGGGTGGGGCGGCCTATGCCACTCAATCGATTTGGAGCTGAAGCCCCTCCAGTTTTTCCTTGGGTCAATCTTGATGGGACGATCTAGTACACTTTCGTGGAGAGTATAACTCCGGAGTAGCTCTGGCTCAGCTCTGGTCATCCGAGCAATGTTTCCTCTGTTTCACTCAGTGGTGGGAGGGGAGCCCCGTTGTTGAAAAGCATTCCAAAACACATTGAATCCCCAAAAACATTCTGACCCATCCCCAGTCCCCAACGATACAAAAAAGTTTCGGCTCGTAGAAGCGGGTGTAGCCACCGAGCCGAGCAGACAACCAGGAAAACCGACCTTTACGGCTGATTGTGCTCTCCCTCCTCCCAGGGAGCTTCCGGGGCAGCCGTACTTGACCATCCGCAATTTTGATGCACAGAAGAAGATCACAGATCCAACCCTTTTCATGACAGGAGATGCTTTAAAACAGACACTGGGATACATCCCCGC